GTCGCAAATTCAAAGGTTGTTCGCCCCCTCCCCTATTGCAATGTCGTTTGCGGCAACACAAGAAATGCATGCTTGAGCTGTTAAGCCCCAACGACATTGTACCAGGGATGGGGAGGGTAGCAAGTTTGTTCCTTTTGGAAACGATTGTTGCATGGCGGGAAATTAAAAATTGCATTGAAATGTCTCAACAGTTTTTTCCGGGGTTGTGGCTGTCTGGAATAACCTTAGGGACTAGCAGAGCCAGGCAGCCAGTAGTTAACAACATTAAATGAAAATAAGTTAATGGTCAACAGGAAAACACAAATACACACATAAAAAGGAAGAAAAAGAAGAGGAAAAATGCTATCACTACGCCATTAGGGAAGTTTGAAATAACTTTTTTGTTGTTTTTCGGTTTTGTTTTTGTCTGTTCGTTTGTTTGTTTGTTTTTTTTTTCAACAAGAGCAAAAATTTCTCTTTGCCTCATCATGGTAATTTCCTTCCTTCTGTTTGGTTGTTACATCACTCAATAGAAAAGCGCTATACATGTTTCAGAGGAGACATATAATGGATGACAGCCTACCTTTTACCTCCAGATTGATTGAGTGGACCATGGGGTTGTCATTGTCACGAGAATTGTTTGCCTCACAAGTGTACACATCTTGGTGACTTTCCCTGTTCACATTTGTGATAACTAGACGGTGGCCAAAGTAATGGCGAGGAATTTCATAGGAATTCTGTCCATGCACAATCCGCGTCCCATTCTTTTTCCACGTGATTTCTGGAGTTGGCCTGCAATTCGTACAAAGATGTAGCATGTGTTGAAGTGTTTCACCAACTAGCAGGTGACAAGAAAATTTTAAACCTTCTATTACTCTGAAACAATTTGCTCTTCTCAGCCTTGCATTTTCCATAACTAACTGACATGGGATACTCACCGTCCATTTACGAAACAGTAAAGAATTTTCCTTCGTCCCTCAATGGCAAGCTCGTCAACCGCAGGTTTACTGGCCCAAGAAAGAGCAACAGGAGTGCCGGGGTCTAAGTAGGAAGGAGACACGTTCGCATCGTTTCATTTCAAATTGAAGAAGTAAGGGATATTTTCTTTTCGACTAATTATCTATTCGACGTTCCAAATCAAACGTTCTGTAAAAGGATTTCCCTGAATGAAAGAAAGCTGCTATATATCATAAGCAAGACCGGTCCACTTTTCCAGTAAAGCACATTAGCAATTACTTTACGTAAGTGCTTGCCCATCTTTTACCGTCAGCCACATACACGCAAGTGCATGCCTATTTTTTACCTGTCTGTTGAGGGTTATTCTTCACAAGAAATAATTTTCCAGAATCTTCATAGGTGTTCCCAGCTCTTATTCGACATCTTACGCCATCGTAATTAATCTCATCCATATCCTTCTGAGTGAGGTAAGCGATTAACAATGTCCCGTCCGGAGATATTCCTCGTCGTTCGTTCCTGGACAAGTGGATGTTTGATGGTTTTACCCAAGCGTATGAGGAGCCAAAGCCCGCCGCGTGTTTGGGGCACTGAAATCGGAAAGGCTTTCCAAGGTCAACCTTTACACTCTTTCTTTCTCTATCGATGAAATCACCAGGAGCTAACAAAGATTGAGAGGAGTAAAATAATTTAATGACAAGTTAAATTCACTGAGATAGAGCAAATCTTGAGGTAAATGTCGAAAGTAATCCGGTATTGCATTGGCTTTGCTCCACCATGAGCCAGTCTCACTTATTGAGATTCTCTTTTGACTAAACTACCGCGATAGAAACAACGAGGAAGCATGATTTTCGAAATATCCAAGCG